GTTAGCTCGGTATGCTGACGTACCGTAGGCTCCGGTTTCGCTGACAACAGGCGTTTTGGAGATCGTAACTCCGACGATCGTCCTCGATTCTGCTGTGGCGTTGGGCAGGTTGAGGTCGCCTCTGGTGTATTTGCCGTAGGCTCCGGTGTCGCTGACAACGTAGTATCGTAGGCCGTAGCTCCGACGGTCGCCTTGATTACGCTGCTGCTCGTCTTTCACCGATTACCGCTGTCCTCTGCCGTCTCCGTTAGCCTTGTGGTCCCAGTGTGTTGTCTCGGAGGGCTCTCAGTGACTTTTTGAGCTCTCTCCAATTTTTTCTTCTCTCTTTTATTTTATAGACTTGTCGTCTAATGTATTTACGGAGTAGTTGTTTCTTCTCGGTTTTGTAGTTTCTCGCTCCTTTTTGAGATACCCGGTAGCGTTTTTTCAGTAAGCGTATCTCCGACGTCCACTAATTAGCTCCGATGATTTCTCTTTTAAATTTTTTCATTTTTCGTCACTTACACCACCCTTTTCTTACCCGTAATTCACTTTCTGTTCACAGGTAGATCCTGACCCGGCGGACACCGATCCCACCGCTGCCACCAAATTGTCGTGCCCGTGTTGCCGGGACACGAAGAAAAAGTTCGAGATCGGTGATGCGGGCGCGGCAGGGTGTGTGGTGGTGGATAAAATGTAGTAAAAGTTTAGACTACCTCTTGTAGTAATATATATATAAAGGTTTATTTGATAAATACACTTGTATGTGTTTTAGTTACAACTCCCGTACTTATGATTTAATGTGCGAACCGCGCGTAAATCACGTATGACGCGTATGTTGCGGCGAGAGACTGAGATGTTAAGTCTTACCCGGGCGGTCTTCTCCGCTCTTTTATAATATTGTTTTAGGCTTGTCGGAGGGGGTGCCAGGCAACAAGCACATTACCATATTTGGTAATGGTGTAATGCGTTTTGAATTGAGGTTCTAAATGCGGAATGTGCAAGGTGGTGCTTATCGTCGCACTTGTACATCCGCTTCCTTGTTGTGGCGCAATTGAAACAATTCCTCGAGAAGTGTTTTGAAAGCGCTAGTACTATTCGCGATTATAACATCCCCTTCTACTTTTGTCTGGACCATTTTTCTCTATCTGACTTAGATTACGAGAAATTCAGGTGGGGAGATTAAAATGGCCCACCCTGTATAT